CAGAGCTGGAGCCTCCGGCTGCCGCAGCCTCGGATCCGAGTCGCCCCAGCCGCGGCAGGTCCCTGCCGGGAGGGGGCGGGGCTGGGCGCGTGCATCTCCATCCTCAGCTTTTCTGGGCTTGCTGCAACGCCTACTGGTGCAGCTGCAGCATGGCAGAGCCAGATCTCGCACAGCCGCTAAAGACCCCTCCCCCTGACACCTTCCCTAACCCTTTGTGGGGCACTTCGCGGCGCCTCCCCGTTAGCATCATCTCCCATCTCATCGCTGTTATGGGCACCAGCTACCTCTTGGCTGCAGCGCCCTCACACGTTGGACTCTTCCGGCCTTATTGATACCAGATTCAGGTCGTATGGGGAGAAACGAGTGTGACTTTACCGGGTGTGATGTGGAGACCCTGGCCTATTGCCCATCTTCGTTTGATCAAAGGCCACTAGGGTGGTGGTAAGAGGGATTCTCAGGCAGGATTTATTTTTTTAAATTATGTGTAACTGCCTGTCTGTAAATTTTTCCTTGCTTTTATTATTTACTCCAAAGGAGGATTGTCATATTTCCTAAAGATAAAGAATCACACTGCTCTGATGGCTCTATCCCCTCTCCTCACTGTGGTTAATTATCCTTTGGAACATCAGGGTGTGCTTGAAGTTGGCGGGACTCCCAGACCCTGATTAATTGTCTAGTTCCACAGCGGAGGTGCTAACACACTATTCCTCCACAGTATTTTGGTTCTGCTTTCCTTTGACTGTTAAGTATCTTCTCTCCATAGCTATTATCCTCACAGGTTCTCTGGGCCCGATAAAGTGCTGTTATCACTGAGAAAGGAAACAAAAGGATAGATCACTAAAGTGGGGTTGGCTGTCCTCTTTGCCCTGGAATTGTGTTGTCCTGAGGGGACAATGTAAATTACAATTCGAGCATCATTTCACAAGGGCCATCCCTGACCAACTGATACAAATAACATTCTTTGGCCACCCTGTACTAACGGTTCTCCCACATGTCTGTACATTATAATCATCTGGAGACCTTTTTAAAAAGCTGTTTTTGGGGCCCTACTGCCACAGATTCTGTCTTATTGAATTGGTAGTGTGTAATCCAGGCATTGGTACTTTTTTTTTCTTAGTGTCAGGTGCACAAAACAACATAATGATTAGAGATTTACACCCCTCACAAAGTGGTAACCCCACCAAGTCTACTACTCATCTGATACCTTGCACAGCTATTACTATACCATT